TGTAACAGGTAAACTTAATTAACAAAGATTTTAGTTGTCTTTTAAATTTTAACAGGTTTGGTTCAAATTTAAGAAAAAGTGGGAGTGAATTAAAAAGTGTTATGCCATTGTACAGTTAAGTGCTTCTTGAAAAAAGTGGTTGAATGTTTAGGAATAGGTAATGTGTGTAAATTGTACAATTTGTATTGGTTTTTTTTACAGAAAGTTCAAATTTAGAGAATTCCTGTTTCACAAATGTTAAAGATAATTCAGTATTATTTGTGTGATAGCTATAATTCAACATCAAATATTGTTTTAGCCTAGAAATGCACTTATAGGAAATGCAAATAAATACTTAAACAACTCGACTGAATGTAAATCTTAACAGATTCAACAAACGAACTTTCTGTTGGTTGAGACAATGCACAAAGAACAATGTTAAGGGAAGCTTTAGGAACGACGTTTTAATTAAATAAAATGTTGAATACTTTACCACGTTTTGTCTTTTTGAATTAATGCAATTAATTACATACATTAGCAGTTAATTATTTAATAGGTAGCATTCGTTGTTTTTCAGAATAATATAATTTAAGATATTATTGAAATAATATTGCAATTTGATAAACGACACACACTCAAAAGTGGGTTTGGAATCAAAATTATGTATTTAAATTAAATTAAATTCAATTATATGGGTTTGTGTTCAAGCTTGTTTCATATTGCATAGCTTATTTATTTTATCACTTTAATTTTAACATTCTTCTTTTGTACTCCTTGTTCCCCTAACGAATGCTGATCTTATTGTTGATGAAATGATTTTTTATTCCATAAATCTATTGATCGTAAAATATTCTAACTGTGAATGATTTCATAATGGTAACCAGCAAACAGTTTAAAGGGTATATTTATTTTAAATCTGGTTGAAAATATTGAATGAAAAAATACAAATGGACCCAAAACGGATATATCCACTCAAAACTCAAACTCCAAAATTTTGGCGAAAACGATACTTTCTCCAATCTCCATATACTATGGTATAAGGGGAGAAAATAAACATATAATAGTGCTGCAATTTGTTGGAAAACTTTGTAACTTGTAATGCTGTTGAACATCGTAGAACTTAACTATTTGGTTTATTTGAAACAGCTGTTTAAATTTATTTTTAAATAGTCTTTCAAAATCCCTGACATGGTTACCTTTAAATTGGTCCCAGGGGGGCTAAGCCCTGAAAGTTATCATGAAATTAATTATGTAAACCTATTCCATGAAATTCTACATATGTACCAAGTTTCGTGGCCATCGCTCCAGCGGTGTTTGAGTTTATCACTTCCAAATATAAATACAAATATCCTCTTTTATAATTATAAGATACTAGCAGAATACCCGTCCTTCGTATGGGGTTGGCGTGTATAAGCTTTTTTCAGTAATACTCGTGCTTTGCGTTTGCAATGGAAGAGAACACCGTTTGAGTATTTGGTTCTTTCAATTTACGTTATGTTATAATATAACACATATACCGTCGCCATAATGTTCTACCCCCACACCTAAACGAAAAGAAATTAAATTATTGAATATTTGCACAATAACAAAAGGTTATTTATAAATAAAACATAAATTTAACTGGGAACAATCCTACTTTGACAGTTCAATCGCTGCTTGGTTCAAATTAACTGTTGTCATGAATGCAGCGAAAAACTAATAGAGCTGCACCCTATTGGTTAACTTTATAACTTTTTAATTATATTGAATATCATAGAACAAACTGGTGTAGTTGAAACAGCTGACAGAATTCTTTAACTACTTTTCAATATGATTACTCATAAGGTTAACATGGGACAATCCAGAGCCCCTGGGGTGGAGCCCGAAAGGATTGTTGAGATAAAAATATGTCTATATGTTAATCGGGAAAGTGAGCTATCATCATACCAAATTTCAGTTCAATCGGACCAGTAGTAAATGCGTGATTGAACTTCAAACAAACACACAAACTTTTACATTTATAATATTAGTATGATATGATATTAATTTAATATTTTATTCTAAACTAAGAGTCTGATCTTAGCGCCTGATTGTTGTAAATTGATGCGTTTATCTAATATTACTATCTGATATTATTATCTAATATCGTACCCATATTTACTAATCTTTTCCTATTTCTACTTTGTGATTCCAGTGGAGCTCTAAATCTATGTTTTTCCAAACTCGAATAAATACTTTTTTCCTACAGTCACCCGACAAAGTTGGCTTCCTTGTACTGTTTATAGTACAGAAAGCTGCTAATTGCCGCATATTTATTCTTTGCCGTACGGTTTATACTTTGTCGTACGGTTTATACTTTGCCGCACATCAGGATTCCAACGAAACAACACAAAACAACATGGTTCTATTATGCACGTAATCCGTGTACGCTTGGAAATAGGTTGGCAACACTTAAAGATAATAATACTATGAGCAGCTGATTGACTATTATAACTACGATTTAACCTGTCATTTCGTGTTTATCGTTTCGGTATTTCTGAAATTTCTGGACTTTTCTTTTAAAAGTTTTTAAAACATTCCTACGATCTTAATAAACAAGAAAATACCTTTAAAGCATTTTCTTTAGGCGCGGAAACCACTTCAAATTACAAAAACATACGGAACTATATTCTCAAAACGCGGAGCACATTTCTTGTCGAGGAAAAATAGCGGAGTGATACGGACCGCGGGTGCTACTTTCTCTAGGGCACCATTTGTATTGCCAGCTGAACCTAAAAACGTGTTGTATAGTGTTTGAAAGACTAATTATTTATATGTTTTATAGTGACTGTAGGAAAAATATAATGAGTAACACGAGTGAAAAAGGCCTTTGCTGCACTCGAGATCATTCCGCACTCGCCTGCGGCGTGCGTAAACATTGCTCTCGTGTGCAGCAAAGTGCCACTTTCACCAATAGTTACACAAATAACTATTTCATGTCAACACTTTTGTGTAGGCAACACGTTTAAATCACGCATCGTAACAATAGCACAGGAACAGCTGATGTATCAGCCTGCAGGATGTCGCACATGTGAAAACTTTAGAGAACGTGATAACATTGCCTAAAACAACGGAGCTCGATACCGAGATGTTAGTGGCAGATAGAAACCTAATGTTGGCTATGACCAGTTTACTTACGGTAATGTAGAGAGTTAGTTTTAATGTTGTAACTAATTAAACCGATCAGGGACCGATTAGAACTCACATTTATTTGTTGATTATTTAAAACATTAATTTTTATTTTAAACATTTTAAACTGTTATGGATGTTGATATTAAATTAAACTCAATGTTAAAATATCAATTTATTACTGTACAATCAAGTACATACACGAGCTATACAGTGCTACTAAGAAGATCAATATGTTTGTCACACTAACAAATTCAGTATAAAGTGCAAAACGGTGTGCATTTGTTGCATAATTTATGTTACTACATGTCATAAATAAACAGCTGTGGTCAGATAAAGCCAGAAAGTTGGATTACAGGCCATCCCATAATTTAGACCTGTACTAAATCAAATCTTTACAATCTTGTCAATTGCAGTACTTTCCAGCTTACTGGAATTTCCGTTAATAATTTACTGAGTACTTCAGACATTTTTGTATTAAATGCACCCAAATGCATAATTTATTCTTTTACATCGCATTCAACAAAAACAATACCAATAAATTTGTAAAATAAAAAAATAGTCAATTTGATCTTCCCCTGGGTTTTACGACCCCCTCCAAGCTGTCTTTGGGAAGTAACCATCACAAATTACATTAAAATGTGTGTTTTTTACATTACACCTCATTATGTTAAATGTGATTCACAATCCATATTTAATATCCATTTCAACACAAAATTAAATATAATATTACAATCCTGCAACTTCACAGCATTTTCCTACGTTCTAATACAATAACACAAACATGGAAAGCGTTTTGAATCCTTTTATATCTTGACAGTTCAAATGAGAAATCTTACTAATATTTTTCTAGAGTACTAACAAAAACAATCCTTAAGAGCCAACAGTTTCCAGACACGTGATCCCAAAATATCTAGATACCAGCCGACCGAGGATAATATAAGTGCATTATCTTTTACTGAACGTGGGTGGAATTTTTATAAAACCAAATCCTTTGAAATGGCAATATGGATGATTTATTGCCATACATTTACAGTATAAGATTTCCACATGTAAAAAATGTGTTAACTTGACAATATGTAATTGTGCTACTTAAAAACGAATAGTTTATCAATATCACTGAAAATGGCAGAAAACCCGAAACAAATGTATGGTATTACAAAAGACTTACCAACAGCGACACCAGCTCACTTGGCAAAACATTCTGTTGGTAGTTCACAAGCAAAATGAGTAATGGTTTATATTTTGGCTTAATAATTAAGAGCTAGTCCAATGTGAGCTTGACTTAATTTAAATTGTGATGAATAAAACAGAAGCAATACAACTTGTCTACCAGAAATTGTAGAAGTTGGTAATCTGGTGTCTATACAGTCTTGTACATGAACCTGATGTGACGAGGTGCTGGCCCAGTATTAACCTGACCGGATCTCAGAGTGCTACGTTGTGGAAGTTGTTCATCTGACGTTACTCTACAGTCTTGTACATGGACCTGATATGACGAGGGGCTGGCCCAGTATGAACCTGACCGGATCTCAGAGTGCTACATTGTGGAAGTTGTTCATCTGACGTTAGTCTACAGTCTTGTACATGGACCTGATGTGACGAGGGGCTGGCCCAGTATGAACCTGACCGGATCTCAGAGTGCTACGTTGTGGAAGTTGTTCATCTGACGTTAGTCTACAGTCTTGTACATGGACCTGATGTGACGAGGGGCTGGCCCAGTATGAACCTGACCGGATCTCAGAGTGCTACGTTGTGGAAGTTGTTCATCTGACGTTAGTCTACAGTCTTGTACATGGACCTGATATGACGAGGGGCTGGCCCAGTATGAACCTGACCGGATCTCAGAGTGCTACATTGTGGAAGTTGTTCATCTGACGTTAGTCTACAGTCTTGTACATGGACCTGATGTGACGAGGGGCTGGCCCAGTATGAACCTGACCGGATCTCAGAGTGCTACGTTGTGGAAGTTGTTCATCTGACGTTAGTCTACAGTCTTGTACATGGACCTGATATGACGAGGGGCTGGCCCAGTATGAACCTGACCGGATCTCAGAGTGCTACGTTGTGGAAGTTGTTCATCTGACGTTAGTCTACAGTCTTGTACATGGACCGGATATGACGAGGGGCTGGCCCAGTATGAACCTGACCGGATCTCAGAGTGCTACGTTGTGGAAGTTGTTCATCTGACGTTAGTCTACAGTCTTGTACATGGACCTGATGTGACGAGGGGCTGGCCCAGTATGAACCTGACCGGATCTCAGAGTGCTACGTTGTGGAAGTTGTTCATCTGACGTTAGTCTACAGTCTTGTACATGGACCTGATATGACGAGGGGCTGGCCCAGTATGAACCTGACCGGATCTCAGAGTGCTACGTTGTGGAAGTTGTTCATCTGACGTTAGTCTACAGTCTTGTACATGGACCTGATATGACGAGGGGCTGGCCCAGTATGAACCTGACCGGATCTCAGAGTGCTACGTTGTGGAAGTTGTTCATCTGATGTCTGTCTACAGTCTTGTACATGGACCTGATATGACGAGGGGCTGGCCCAGTATGAACCTGACCGGATCTCAGAGTGCTACGTTGTGGAAGTTGTTCATCTGATGTCTGTCTACAGTCTTGTACATGGACCTGATGTGACGAGGGGCTGGCCCAGTATGAACCTGACCGGATCTCAGAGGACTACGTTGTGGAAGTTGTTCATCTGATGTCTGTCTACAGTCTTGTACATGGACCTGATGTGACGAGGGGCTGGCCCAGTATGAACCTGACCGGATCTCAGAGTGCTACGTTGTGGAAGTTGTTCATCTGATGACTCTCGTTGTACGGCTCCGCCGTTGGCACCATCTCCTGGGCGAAAGACGAACGGCTGAACTGTCAACATTATACTTTCTACAGTTTATCACGTTGCCTTTTACAGAGACAATTCTTATTTTTAAATCATTTCAAGACTCAAAAATGAGACTAAGATGTGCTATTATATGGTTTTGATTGAAGGTCTTTTGGTTTTTGTGTTTTCTGTTGTAAACATTAACAAGGTAATAATGAGTTTTTTTTAGTATTTTAGCAATCTCTACAATAAAATGAAGATAAATACTAACTTTTATTGATAAACACAATTACATTAGTTGTATTTTTAATAACTAAACAATTTTTTAAGTGTTCTCTGGACGAATACGTTAGTATGTGATATAAATAAATATATATATATATATATATATATATATATATATATATATATATGACTAACTTGTGGATTTTCATTGATCAAAACCACTTTACACTCAAAGTTCTAAAAAATTTAAGTTTTTCATAACTTCACGTTAGATTCCCAATAGAATTTAGCACAATGATATTCCTTTCTATAAAAAACCAAAAAGTTATAGGTAAAGTTAACTTTAAAATTTAGGATAAATTAACCGGCTTATTAAACCAAAATATATATTTACCGAGACCGATGTGATTCCAGTACAAGAGTGACATGTCCGCTTCTTTATGCGGCATTGCTTCCATCTTTTGGTTACTGCAGTTATAACCTGAAAAGGTAGAGAAGTAATCAACCAAATTTTGGCGAGACCGGCAGATTTTATAGCACTTAGTACATGATGGACATTAATAAAATATAAGAGAGTTGTTTCATTTTTTGAAATATTTCCTTTAAAATGTTAATAGAAGATTGTTTATCTTTCGATCAGAAAATTTTGCATTAAGCGATCAATTATTTTTTAGGATATTTTATCAGGAATAAGTAGTTAGGAATTTGAATCTTACCTCATTGAGGAGAGGAAATAATTACAGTAAGCTGCAATACGATAACACGACAAAAATAGGTAAATCAAAAGACAAATTTTGATTAATTTAAAACTGTTCTCACTATCGAATATAGTGGAATAGAGTAACAAATTTTGACTGTAAACCAGAAAAAGTGATATCCAACATTATAGTAAAACTTGTACTTATTCAATTAAGATTAAAAATGAGATCGTTCCATTAGAATCTCTTGAAAGATTAAGATGAAATACCTGTACATTTGTGTATCAACGAACAACTTTATTTTACATATACTTTACTGAGTCACTGATTCCGACACTGATACCAATGCACAACAATTGTAATGTAATTTATAATACAAAATGTAAATATAACTTGAAGTTACCTCTCCGTTACAAAAGCAGAAGAGCAAAGCCACACACAATCCCTGCAAAAAAATAATTAAACAGGTTTTACTAAAACTATATAATAATTATTAATGAAAACAGATTACATTTATTTTATATTTTACAAGATTCTTATCTAAAATGTGTTTTACATGTTCGAAAAATAAAGTATGAAAACATGAAGTGTAATTGAGTTGAGTAATAAAGTAGTAACTTGTAGTAAAGCGAATGAATCAAATTAAAACTAACAAAGATAGAGTTTCAAATATACGCTCTCTCTCTCTCTCTCTCTCTCTCTCCCTCTCTCTCTCTCTCTCTCTCTCTCTCTCTCTCTCTCTCTCTCTCTCTCTCTCTCTCTCTCTGTCCAGCATCTGGTGCTTTGCGGGGATACTTGTTTGTATGGTCACTTGTGGGAACTCTGCCATTTTTAGTGTTAGAAAGAATCCAGTGAGAGAAGATTGTTAGATAAAATTTTAGCAGTTGTTTTTTGTGGCCCTCTCTCAAAAATTCGTCCATTTACCAAGTGCCGATTTTTGTCCTTGTGGGGCTATAACGGTCACTATGAGAGAGGATTTACGAGGATATGTGAGAGGAATTAGTGGGGATATAAGAGAGAACATTCAGAGGATATAACGGTCATTGTAAGAGAGGGCATAGTGAGGATATGTGAGAGGGATATGTGGGGATATAAGAGAGGAATTTATAAGGCTATAAGAGAGGAGCATGTGGGGATATAAGAGAGGAATTTATAAGGATATGAGAGAGGGGCATGTGGGGATAAATGAGAGGGTTTTGTGAGGATATATGAGGGGGACTTGTGGGAATATAAGAGAGGACTTTATGGCGATATGAGAAAAGAGTTGATAGTTCTACAGTTACTTGGGTTTGTGCGATGGTGATTATCCAGGAGACACAAGAGAGGGCGTTATGAGGATATGAGAGCGGATCTTGTGGAGATATACAAGATAGATATTTGTGGGGTTATGTAGGCCTATAAATAGTTTTTGAGAATGTTAGACGGTGAAATAGGATACCAAGTAACTTTCAATGGATATAAGAGAGGGATTTGTGGGACTGTAAGAGAGGACTTTACGGCGATATCTCAGAGGGTTTTGTGGAGGTATGAGAATGAAATTAGGAGGACACGTAAAAACAGTTCATGCTAAATGTTTAAGGGTAATATAATTAATTGAATGGTCTTAAGAAATTATTCAAACACTAGACTAATGATTTATCACGCTTTATTTTCATCAATTTTACAGTATGGAACAGTATGGAAAAATTCAAGCTTTGGGGCGTCACCTCTGGTTCGTATCAACTTTTTAAACTTCAAAAAATAATACTTAGAATAATGTTTTCAAACCCGTAAAACATTCTTGCAAACAACTTTTTAAAGAACTAAAAATTCTAACCGTCCCTAATTTGTATATTCTTAAATGTTTATTGTATGTGAAATCAAATTTCGAAAAACTCCTCAGTGAAAATAATCGGCACAATTATAACACTAGATTTAATAAAGATTTTCAATATCCTATACACAGATTAAATCTTGTGGAGAGGACACCTTCTTATATGGGTAAAAGATGTTTTTACTATTTGCCTGGGTTCAACGAATCAATCATAGGATTAGTATCTTTTAAGGAAACATTGTTTAGTTTTTGTTGGAAAATAATTATTTTAGTATAGATCTGTTTCTCGAAGACAAATCTATGTGAATTGTTTTTTTTTACTATGTATTTATTTTTACCAATTAGCTAGTTTATCTTAGTATAGTTTGACAATGTCGGCTGTGCCAGAGCATTTGAAAAAAACGTTATGTGACAATAAAGATGACTTTGACTTTGTATAAGTATAAGCAATGGTTTAAATAAATATATAAAAAAATTACCATGTATACATACATGAATATTCATGTCCGTACCCCCGTCATTAATATTATGTATGTGAGGCAAATGTTGACACCACTTTACCTGGAATATATTCTTATATTCCTTAGACAACGTTATAACTGAAGATTTAATTATAAGTTTTATAAAATTTCGGATAAATGTATTTTAATGTGCATACAATTTTTTCAATAGTAACATACAGTATTTTCATCATTTTTATGTTGATATTATATAATTTCATATGCAGGTTAAATACGCACCATCTGAGATCCCTGTCTCAGATAGTGTTATAATGCTATTCATAAAAGTCGTCACTTCAAGTTGATACCGCAACATAGTGTTATCATTCATTGTGGTGTTGAGCTTAACTTGTTGTAATTAAACGATTACAATAGGCTTGCATTCAAGCATGGCCGCCTCCAAAGAAGGCAATGTGGTCTTTGAGCTGGGGTAGCGGATTTCTACCCCCGGATATTTACCCCCATGAAAAAACGCCTACGTCATTTTGACGTCACGAGGGGCGGGGCCTATACATGGTCGAGAAACAGCCCGCGACTGGAAATTTACCCCCGGACATCTACCCCCAGACATCTACCCCCAGACATCTACCCCCGGACATCTACCCCCGGAAATCTACCCCCGGAAATCTACCCCCCGTGGTCAGCTCTGCCGTGTATTGGCCAATATTTATTGTGTTGTATAATTGATTTTATAAATTGCTTTACCTTCTTGTATCCAGTATTAAACATGCGATATGTCGATGTCTGTTTTAACATTATCCATATTTATAATTTAATAAGTTATAACAGTCCTTTTCAACCCGACCTACTTCACAGATTTTTACGATTGAGGTGTCTTTTAAAAGTTTAAGATCTACCGCAGCACAAAATGGTAATTAAAAGGATATTTCGATTATGGCTTCAAAAGGTTGACCCCAAAGCCTTTGATTTATTCCTAGAAGGTGCTTCCAATGGTTGACCAACTTTTACACTATACAGTAACAGTTTAAAAGTGAAATGTGAGTAGTACTCATCAGATCAATTTTTAAGTCAGGTTGTGAAAACATGAATAGATCGTCTGCAACTGTAAACAGGAGATTAAAAAGCTATGAAAATAATATAATATTGCGCACTTTTCACATGGTCAAGTGTTACATCGTACTGAACCATTGTTTTTACACACATTTCTTAAAGGATAAAGTGAATAAACTGTGGTGAACTTCCGGTTTATTCAATGTAGGCCTAGTAGTAATAATTGTTTAGTAAACCAAAACTCATTTGCAAACTGTTAAATTGAGAAAGAGGATCAAAAGTTTTTCATCAATAAAAGTCAGGTGTATAATGGCAAATTTTTCATATCACCTAGTAGTAAAAAAATTTAGTTTCTAAGATTTTAGATGCGTAGGCCTACTAAGAAAGGATTTTAAAGTATTTTCTCTTAAAGACCTAAAATAAGACAATTATTCAAATTTAATTTTTGTATTTTGTATTATTTTGTATTATAATTATATTTTGTATCATATTTTGTATTATAAATATATTTTTTATATTTGTAATTTTTCATCAATAAAAGTTAGGTGTATAATGGCAAATTTTTCATATCACCTAGTAGTAAAAAAAATTAGTTTCTAAGATTTTAGATGCGTACTAAGAAAGGATTTTAAAGTATTTTCTCTTAAAGACCTAAAATAAGACAATTATTCAAATTCAAAATAATGGCCACATTCAATTTTTTAAGCATAGCCTAATATCTTTTAATAAATATATACGCCTAAATACCCCCATTGCAGCACATTCGTATATTCAGGGAATGTATAAAGTCTTATTGGAAAATCCTGCCTTAAAACAAAACTTGTCAACTTATGTCCATAAATAAGTGTTCAAAAGATTCATTTATAAGAATACCATATACGAAGTGAATAAGCTGGTTTCCTGCCACTAAAATGTTAAAATGAGGAATTTAATGTAGTATACAGAACAGAATTAGGTGAAACCCGTCGACATTGACGGTTACTTTCAAGGCTTATGCTAATTCATATAACTGCGATAAATAGATTGAAGTAATACAAATTTTTAGCATTCAGCTCTTTAGCTTTTTTGATGAGTAATAAGTGTAAAAGCAATAATGACTATTGCGTTAGTTACAAAATATGGTTGATCATTCAATGAATAAAAATTTTCCCATACCGTACGTCATAAGAGTTATAATTAACAGGTTTTTCTTCTTTTGGAAGAACCTTTAAATAGTATTAAAATCGTATTGGTCAATCTTTTGTGATAAACACTTTCGATCCGCGCTCATGCATGCGCCGTTAGCTGTTACTGTTTGTGAAAGTAACAATGGGGGGTTGAAAAAGGACTGTTACAACTTATTGAATTATAAATATGGAAAATGTTAAAACAGACATCGACATATCGCATGTTTACTACTGGATATAAGAAGGTAAAGCAATTTATAAAATCAATTATACAACACAATGAATATTGGCCGATACACGGCAGAAGCTGACCACGGGGGGTAGTTGTCCGGGGGTAGATGTCCGGGGGTAGATGTCCAGGGGTAGATGTCCGGGGGTAGATGTCTGGGGGTAGATGTCCGGGGGTAGATTTCCAGTCGCGGGCTGTTTCTCGAACGTGTATAAGCCCCGCCCCTCGTGACGTCAAAATGACGTAGGCGTTTTTTCATGGGGGTAAATATCCGGGGGTAGAAATCCGGCGACCCTTTGAGCTTGCAATACTGCAATCCCAGTCACCCCATCATGACACCATCAGGTGCTTTTTTCTGCAACCCATATTTCTGTAGATATTTTTGCAGGAAACTCACATCGAACCAGCCAAAAAAACTTTTGTGGTGTTGCTAATTCTAGATGGCGTGAAAGCCTAAAAGTCCATTTGTTATGGCTTCAAAAGTAACATTACTTGATTTATCTATTCTTGTTTCTAATCAATGTAAGTGTCTATTTTTTCCAGTATAGCAAAGAATGACCTTTTTTTATTACTGGAGTGTATAGTAGTAGTTGTAACTAGAGTTATAACAGTTTTTATAATTAATATTGCAACATTCAATAAACATAAAAAACTGGATTTAATAATAAATATTTATACTACGTCATACATTTTTCATATTTTATGTCATATTTTGGAATATAATTA